TCAGTTTATGATTCGAAGATGACTTGATGATTTCCGTCTTTTTTCGTCCGTCTGGTTTTGATTTGGTACGAATGGAGATTTTTGTGACGATGATGAGAAGCTTCTGCTTCTCTGAGTCCAGTTGAGTTTCGTGTTGCTTTGGATGAGTTTACGGTCGTCGTTTTGTGATGATTGATGATTAGGGTTTTCAAGATTTGTCTTCTTTCTTCTCCCTGATGAAACCTTATATTTCCGTGGTTCTAATAATTGGGCCTGGATTCGTTTCACATCTTTTTCGATTTTTCTGTTTGATTTGTTGTTCTGAAACAGAGGAATTTGTGGATTGGTTGTTATTTAGTGATTTGGATTCACGGTTTTGGAGGATTTATGGTTTTGGTTGTTGTTAGAGCAGAAATTTGGGGCGTTTTTAATGGAGCTGTTGGCTGTTGTTGCGTTTATTTTGCATTGTTGGTTTAATCTTGTTGCAGGGACCTGCGTTTTTCATGGCTGTGCTTAGACAGGTTGTTTGATCCGTTTTGGGTCAAAAATTTGAGGAAGTTCTGTTTATGACCTGTTTGGCAAAAAAATTCATTTTTCAAGAAAAACACTTTTTCCAAAAGCACTTTTTCCAAAAGTACTTTTTTCAAAATCACTTTTTCAAAAATCACTTTTCTCTCTTGGACCAAATTGAACAGATGTTGTCGGGTCGGTGCCGGGGTCGAAAAATTAAAAGTCGGGAGCTGGCGACGACCTCGTCGTTGTTGCCCTCCCAACATACCCGATGATGAAAATTAACTGAGGGTATCAGAACCGATCAAAAACCATTTTTATTGATTCTAACCATTTAAATTATTTTCTCTGTTGTCGATTCTTTTGCAGGTTCGGAAAAATCGAAGGTTGAAGAATCAGCGCGAAGACCATTTTAAAAAAATTAGGCATTTAGGACTTAGGAATTAAATTTGTAATTGTAATTTCCTTTGTAATAAAAAATAGAATTTAAATAAATAAATTCGATTCTTTCTTAATAAACTGAAATTATTTCTCCGATCAAATTTCTCCTGATAATTCATCCGATTAAACTCAACCGAATAAATTCATTTAATAAATTTATCCGACTAAATCCATCCGATTAAATTCATTCGCTTAAAATTCATCTAATTAAATTCAAAGGACTGACTCCATCTGATTAAACCCATCCAAATAAATTTTTCCGAGTAAATTCATTCAATTAAAATTATCTGATTAAGCTTTGACGTTCCAAACTCTGAATTCGAAAATTAATCATCTTGCACGATTTAAATCCGACGTAACTGCTGAGTTCGAACAAATCCTTTTGCAAATTAATTCGTACCCGGTAATAATATCAGTGAATATGACCTTGAAAGGATAAGCAGAGAAATCTGATTAAACGGCGAAACGAACTGTCATTTGCATTGAAAATTCAAATCGTATCTCGAGGATGATGTATATGACATGTATATGATGTTTATATGTACATATATGATGACAAATTTCCGCTGTTTATTATTGTTGATATCATTTAATGAAAATGTTTTGTTGGTTTCTTCTGTGACATCCCATTTTGTGGTGTGAAACTCTGATAATTGTTTATTTTAATTGCATTTATTTATTTTGGGGAACGGGGTGTTACAAGCTGGTATCAGAGCAGGTCGGTCCGTTCGGCCAGTGTAGTAGTTGAGTCTGTCTGTAGGATAGAGTTGGTATATTTTTCTGTTAACCTGGCGTTGTTGTTGTTGAGCAGTATGGCGGGAAGGAATGATGCTGCATTGGCTGCAGCTATGCAAGCGATGGCGCAGGTGGTTGCTAATCAGAACCATGCTGCGGGTGCGCAATTCAGGTATTTGGCGCAGTTTCAGAGTAACAAGCCGCCAACGTTTCAAGGAGGAATTTTGGACCTTGAAGCGGCGCAAAAGTGGCTTAAGGCGATTGAGAAGATTTTCAGAACCATGGGTTGCAGTGATGAGCAGAAGGTGAGGTTCGGTACTCACATGTTAGAGGGAGAAGCTGAAGCTTGGTGGGACAACAGTCGCCAGAGGTTGGAGACTGCAGGGACTCCAATTACTTGGGATGTTGTTCGGACTGGTTTTCTGGAGAAGTATTTTCCAGAGGACTGGTTCAGACTGGTTTTCATGGAAATATCATCATAGTTCATCAATTATTGCACCATAGGAATCATCATATAATCATGTACAAATCACGTAGAATTCATAGTTGTACTCATATTCATTCGTCAAAGAAATCACAACATCAAAACGTCAAGGCATCGCTGCACAAAATCAGAATTTGCGAAACTCTGCTACGTTCGCTAGCAAGTTCGTTGTGCGAGTCTAGGGCGAGTTTCTTCGTTGTGCGAAGGATTCTTCACAGTGCGAGTCTGGAACGAGCTTCGTTCGCTGTGCGAAGGATTCTTCGTTGTGCGAACACGCGATGACATCAAAACATTGTTACGCACCAGAACCTAAAATCAACCCAAAAGTCCCACGATTCACTTCCCCAATAATCCAAAAACATCCCTAAATCATCCCTAAGGTCTAACAGTGATAAAGGCACAAAATCTAAGACTTATTAGGCCAATCTCGTATCATATTCACGCTCTAAATCTCATAAATCCTTACAACTACACCACAATCATTAGAGTTTCTCACTATCCAATTTCCCTACAGGGTTAGACAAATGTCAAATAAGAGCTTTGGCCACGAAGGCCTAATTTCCTTTAACCCAAATAAATCCCTACAGTTAAAATCTCATTAATAGATTTAGGCCACGAAGGCCAAATTCCCTTTATTTCATAATCAACCTCAAACCCTTTAAACCCTTAAATCGACCTTAAATACATTGAAATTATACATTGAAAACAATGAAGGCAATACTCTTCATACCTTAATTGTCGATTCTAAGCCTTCTCAAATCTTTCAGAAAACCTTTTGAAGCTTTTGCCTCAGAGCTCTGGCCTCAATTCTTTTCACGGTCTAACAAAATGAATCTTAATCCCATCATAATTCCCTTTTTGTTAAATCTAACCTTGGGCCTATAATTTGGACTTTTCCAATATTACCCTCAGTAACTCCTCAATTGTCCAATTTGCCTTTAGTTAACTTATATTTATTTAAATTAATAATAATACTAATATATTTTTATTATATACTATTATTTAAATAAATAATCAAAATTCCATAATTCTCAATATTTCACAACAACCACCGAAAATCACCGAAATGTGAATATTCTTATTAATAAATATTCCAATGAATTTGGGGTGTTACAGAGAACACCAGTCGCATCTTCCCTCGTAAAGATGATTCTGGGCTCTCGGTTTATCCCTGAGGTTCTGACAGCCTTAGCGGGTGCGATGCATGTTGTTAACCCTTGGGTATACCTTCTTTGAGATAAGCTAGATTCTCCTCTTCTAGAGAAACCTCCAGCGATGGTGTTGATGGTATTTTCATAACTTTGCTCAAACATCCTCGTGAGAAGATGGTGAAAGCAATAGTGAGTAACGGTGAGTGTGGCCTATGTTAGTTTTATAGGAGTTCCGCGGCAGGGGTTTACTGTACTCGGTAAAAGTATAAATGTGTGACAATCCTTCGTGATTAAGGGATGAATGGCAACACGTTTAAGGTTTGTTGTGAGGTTGAAAGCTAACTCACACAAGAATGAGAAACTCTGTATGTGTGTATTTTTACATTCGAGTTATATTCTCCCTCGACTGTGATGTTGAGATAGTTATAGCCCTGTTGAGCCTGGATCCAAGGCTTCATTGAAAAATAATAACCTTCTAGGAAATGGAGATTTGATTTTCTGCTATTTAGAGAACTTGGTTGACTCCCATTGCTCCTATGTCATTGTAGACCAAACACACGTCATCCCACGATTATGCAATATGGACAGAATATGATCTTAAAAAATTGCGTCTTATTCCACAAACGGGCGCTCGAACCAAGAAAGGGACGACAAACAAAACACATACCTCCACCACACCCTTTGCGGGTCCTTTCAATTACACCACTACAAATCTCGATACTCCATGCTCTGGTCTGCTGTGAGGTGGGAGGAGGAATATTTTTAACACTCCAACACTAAAATCAGTGACGACTGAAAATAAAATATTTCTTAGAATTTTATAGTGGAATTCTAGAGTTTTGCTTCCAAGAGCCTTCTCTTTGAAGTCCCTTTCAAGAGATAGATATTTTCAATTTTCTATTCTCTTTGATTCGACAGTCACCTCTGCTCCGCTAAATCCATGAAACATTTAGGGGCTTATTTCGTGGACCGTCTCTGTTGTTGGACCTTCGCATAGTTGACGCCGACTTAATCTGGAACCGAATATGTTATTAAAAAAGAACAATTTCTTGCATGTGGTATCATGCTATAATTTGCCATATGTTGATATACGGTTGAAGATAATGCCCCCAATCCGTGTTTTCTATAACTAAACTATTTCTAATTCTTTTCTGCAATCACTTGAGCAGCAATAAGGTTCACCATAACCGAAGTATAGCATTTCCTTTTTAGAAAATGTCCCATCTTATTAAAGAAAACCAGTAAAATGCTATAGCTTGCTTAAGATGGGCCTGAGCAACCTAAATTCAGAATCAGATGTAAATACAACAAAACCATAACGTGCTACATTGGTGGTCCCCTTTGCAACCCTTAACACAGCTCATGTGCCCCCTTTAACTAAGGGAAAATTAATCCCCATCACAGCGAGGCCACTGTTAATGCTCCCAATCATATCCAAACTCAATACAATGTTTCATTATCATCAAACACATTTAAGTCTAACTAATTTATCTACCAAAATCTTAGCTGTTCTTCCATAAGCATTGTGCAGGTGCTGCCAGATGTCAACTTACCCATTGCAAGTACTACCATATATGTAAGGAAAATTGCCTGAGACTACATTTGATTTTAGAAGGCTTCTTTTATTAGAAAATATTAAATTAACTTATTTGATCTAAAGAAGCAAATATATTATCTCATTATTTTGTAAAATGTTCAATTCATCTATCCAATGAGAAATTAAAGAGAAAGCAAAGTAGAAAGCAGGGGATGATAAAAATTTCTTTCTTCTTCTGAGAATCAATTATTACATAGAAAACAATCTTTCTAGATTGAAAAACTGATAAAAAATCACTAACATAACAGCCACATTTGCAGCTTCTAAAACACCAATAATCAAAAATGATATTCCATGTACTCAATTCAACTACAATTTTTGGTTCATAAAAATCTATCAAACTCAAACCAATCTCATGATCACCAAATTCGAGAACAATGTCTGATTCATACTCTTCCAATTTTCCAAAAGACATTGCTTCCAAATCCTGTCCATGGCTTCTCACAGTGATCCATTCATCATCATCATCAAATTCCCATACGGTCTCATTTGAACACAATCCTAGAATTCTGTCTCGTGGACTGGAAGAATGAGTCGAAGAATTCGAGGAGCAACAATCAGATGTGGAAGCTACCTCCTGAGTTGTTTCCAAAGAGTCCCAATCCCAAAAACCTCCTTCCAACACAGTTGTCGGTGTTTCCGAATCAGACACAGATTCCTTAAACTTCCCAACAAACTCATGTCCGAGAAGCTCAACCACCGACCACCTCTCATTTGGATCTCTCTTCAAACACTTCCTCAAAAAATCCTTCCCCTGTTCCGACATAAAATTAGGAATCTCCGGCACATCACCGGAGAATCCAACCCGATACAAAACTGCGGCCGGATCAGAAACTCCCTGCCACGGCATTTTCCCAGTGATCATCTCCAACACAGTACATCCCAAAGCCCATACATCAGCAGCAAACCCCTGTTCCTCCCCACGTGCCACCTCCGGCGCCATGAAAGCCGGCGAACCAGAAATCACCAACTCCTCCTCCACCCTCCGAGCACAACCAAAATCAGCAATCTTCACACCATGTTCCATCAACAACACATTCTGTCCCTTCAAATCACAATGCACTATACCATTCGAATGAAGGTAATTAAGTCCAAGCAGAATCTGTCGCGAGTAGAATCCCACCAAAGCTTCTTCCATTCCATTTCCATTCCTAACCGCATCAGCAAGTGTTCCCTTAGATGCATACTCCATGAACAAATTAAACAAATGAACCCCATTTTCAAACGTGACATCGCAACCTCGGTAGTCCACAATTTGTGGACACTTAACCGTCGAGAGAATCTCTTGTTCTTTCTTCAAAAACCTTGAGCCATGAAGCTCCGTCGATTTCACCGCAAAAACTTCATCTGAATTGCCATGTTCCGCGAGGTAGACAGTGGCAGTTGAGCCCCGGCCGACGATTCTACCTCTAGTCCAGGCCATTACGATAAAGAAAAACTTTGTTGTGTTTATTTTGTGTTGTTCTGATGTTAGACTTTATAACTTGGGAGTGAGAGATATAGATATTATATACTAGCTTAGTTAATTAGGAGAATTACATTTATGTATCTATTATTCTATATATATAGTGTGAAGGTTTAAAAGTTTGGTTTAAATTGGAGTGTTGTGGTTGGCTTAATGTTGAGGGAAAGAGGTTAAATGATATGATTGTGATGTGGAAAGTTTTTTGGTTGTGTAGAATGGACGGCCGCCGTCTTGTTAAAATGGTAGGGATCCACGTGTCAAAACGAGGATGAAATGAGAAACTTATGTTGTTGTTGATGTTGGCCGGCCACGCTAGCTCTAATACTCCATTAACATTAATATTGCCTGTTTAATTAGATTAGATTAGATTTAAGGCATGAAAATTGATTTAATGAATGAGGTAATTAGTAGTATTTCGTTAATTAAGGAGACGGTGCACATGATAGCACGTGGTATGTGAAAGAAGAAACGCGCAAAGATAGAAAATTAAAGAGGAGCGTGCTTTGTGAGGTAATGAAGGCATGGAACATTTTTGTGTGGTGGCATATTCCATTCTTGTGTTACTATAAATTATTAAAAAATTTATCTTTAACAGCTAGATAGCCCATTACTTGTTTTCGTTAATGTTAATGTATATGTCTTTGGTGAAAACTATTCTTATTTCTTACTCACTTTGCCTTGAAAACAATGAAAATTATCTTATAGTGAAATGGATTAATACAATGAACAAGAATTCGTTCAAGTTAGTTAGGCCAATAAAAAATGACAACTATGAACTTACGTACATATATACATACATTGAACTTTGACTACCTATACTGTAATGTCAATTATAGACTACAGGACTAGAAGTAGGCAATGAGATTAGTTAGTTGTATAAACTTAATCACTACTCGTTGTTGATTTTTTAAGTCAAAGTTATCGATGCTTTTGTTTAAATTAAAGAAACTAAGTCCATTTGATTAGTTAGGTAGGTGGATTGTATACGAAGCAAATACAAAAGGTAACAGTGAAAGTCAATTTAAAGGAAAAACGCACTATAGAGGTATCGGTAGAGAGAGATATATTAAAAAAATGGCATAGGATAGGATGATGGGTTAGTATAATTTTTATGAGTGTAAAGTGAGAGTGAAGAATTCAAAGGCAAGGACAGTTGGAATATGGTTAAAGAAGAAGAAAAAGCCAAATACATGTCGATCATTCACAAGTAACAAATTATAGACATACTGTGTTGTGTTGGATTGGACAGTTAAATTGATACAAAAACAGGTTCTTTTTGTGTGGAAAGTGCGTAAGCTTAGTGAGCGTTGACGCTTTGCGTGAGGAATATGAGGAAGCGTGAAGTTCAAGGAAACCAATGATTAAAGATGGATGATATTATCACATGCCGCCAACCTCCCTCCTCGGTGTAAAATGCATGAATTGGGTCACGCTGTGGCAGCATGATGTAAGGTGCAAAATTCACAACTTCAACTTTAACATTGCGTGGAGTATAGCTACAATAATTAAGTATAATATCAAAATAATCCGTTTTGCTTTTAGTACATTATTGTGAGTTTTACTACTTAGATTATAAGAAATGTTGGTTGCGTCATCACACCATAAGGCTTTAGTCACTTACTACTACCACTACTACACTTTAATCAAATTTAATTTAGAGTTCATTTACTTTAGTGTTTCTTAATTAATGTTTAATTTTGTAATCCTACAACTAATCAAACCAATTTGAGTTGTTAGGCTAACAAAGGGCTTGTTTGTTCAGATTTAGGTAACTTTAATTAACTATATCAAATTAATTTCTGTATTATTTGCTTCCCAAGTAGTAAGTTAGTTAGGAGGTGGTTACACTATTACGAAAAACACATATAATTATAGTTGTGAAAATTTTATAATCACGGTTGAACAACCGTGGTAAAGTAGTGTGTGATTGTAAATAAGTTATTTACAACTACATTATATTGGTCGTGGTAATAAACTAGAAAACGTGCTACATCTAACCACGGTTGTAATAAACAACTGTGGTTGTAAATCAGCCAAAATTTTCATTTTTTCCCCACATATTTTGTGTGACTACAATGATAATTTTCATCACAATATATATTATTAAATATTTATAGCACAAGAGCAACAAGAACAACAACGACGACGGCAATAACAACTACAAGAAAAACAACAAAATCACATCTTTATTTATTGGGTCAGTACTAGAGTCTTTAACTTTGCCTCAATACCATTAATGACAAACCTACAAAACTAACCCAAGAGGTGAGAAACATACCAAACACATTTGACAAATGATGAACAACAACTATTTTGTAACACCAAATGGAATGAATAGATCGAAATAATGGCGTACCTTGAAAGTTCTACAATAATGATGAATATTAGAACCTTTACAGATAAAAATGGAAGCAAGCGTATGAATAACATGGAAGAAAAAGTATGAAAAAGAAGAAGAAGAAAAGATAAAGAAGAAATGATGTTGAAATTGATTATCTTTTGTTATAAAGAAGAAGAAGAAGAAGAAACAATTTTGTGGAAGAAGAAAGACGTAAGTGAGATGTTCGGGTTTTGTTTTGAGAGAGACGACTGTTCACTGCTGAAGCGAGATAACTTCACTTATATATAAGTAACACATTTCACCACGGTTGATACTAAAAACTGTGATGAAATGTAAGTACTTTTCATAACAATTTCTAGTAATAATCGTGGTGATATGTATTTTAATTTTAAAATATATATAAGAGTAAGCTCTTTTTCTAACGAAAAAATAGAAAATTATTGATGATGGAATTCAAAGCGTGTAGCATTTCATCTATCACCATGGTTGATATAACTAACCGTGATGGAAAGTCCTGTAATAAAATTAAAAAAAAAAATCATGAACGTAAAAGTTAGTTATTACTATGGTTGATTAAACGATCGTAGGAATATAGTGTTATCAATGGTATATTTCGTATAGTGTTAATTGTTATTAAAGGTATATTTTGTAGTAGTGTTAATTGTTAGAATTTATTATCATGTGTTAACCTTTACGTGTGAATATGATCTCATACTTATACTAGTAGTATCACTTTAATAGTTTTATCTCATGTAATAGTTATTTATAACACCTTAACTAACTTTCTAACTATAATAACTACCTGTTTAACTACTTTAACTAACTCTTATTTCCAATATTTCCAACATCTCCACAAATTCACAGTGGAATAAGTAAAGACACCTTGCGCTTGTTTTTGAATTCTGTAAATTGAGCAGTGGTGAGTGGTTTTGTTACCATATCCGCAATTTGAGCATTAGTTGGAACATGTTAGATTTGTAGATGTTTCACCACCAGCTTTTCTAAAAAAAAAAAAATGAATGTTAAGTTTGATATGCTTCGTTCTTGCATGTAAAACTGGATTTTTGGACAATATTGTAACACTAAGATTATCACATAGTAGTGCAGGAACTAAGTAGTTAATATTTAACTCAACAAGAAGTGATTCTAACCATAACAATTTTGAAGTTGTATGTGCTAACATATGATATTTTACTTTCGTGCTTGATCTTGCAACTAAGGCTTATTTATTCGAGCTCCGTGACACAAGATTGAAACCAAATTATACACACGATTCAGAGGAAGACATGTGATCATCAGGGTCATTGGCCCAATCAAAATCAATGTATGCACGGAGGGAGAACTTGTGAATTGAATTGGATGGAGAAAACATTAAGCCATGAGTTTCCATGCCACTTAAGTAACACAAAATACGTTTGAATGCACACCAATGAGTCTCTAGAAGATTGGCCATAAACTAACAAGATTTATTTACACAAAATGTGATGTCTAGTCGAGTAAGAGTGACATATTGCAAGGTTCCAACTGTTGATCGATAGAAGATTGAATATGGTAAGACATCAATGCCATGTTTGCTCAGTTTTCAACTACTGATCATATGTGTGTGTACACCCTTAGCTTCAAACATATTTACTTTAGATAGCAAGTCCCGAATATACTTAGTTTGTGTAAGAAGCATGAAGCCATTTGTTTGATGATGCACCTCAATACCAAGGAAGTATTGAAAGATGTACAACTTCTTTAATGCAAACTTGGTATGAAGTTTGTTGATTAGATCATGATTCAACTTTGGATATGATCCTATTAGCACGTTATCTATATAGACAAGTGTATAGAGTGTGTTATTGTGATGGATGTAAAAAAATAGGGAGTGATTAAACCGGCTTGAGACAAATCCAAATTGTGTAAATGTTTGGTTTAACTTTATGATGGATGTAAAAAAAATAGGGAGTGATGGAAATATATTTTTTTGGATGGCTTGAGGCATTTGAAACGGAACGAGAATCATAAATGATTTGAGAAAAAGAAACACTTGGCGTCGGACCAAGGTTTTAGCATTTTGAAAAGCTTGATTTATAAATTAAAGTCATTACAATTAATTATTCATAAATTAATTAATAGTCCAATTATTAAAATTATAATCAACAAGATAAAAGATATGATTTGAATGAGTAACAATATAACATGAACGTATGAATGTGTAAAAATAACAATCATAGTAAATAAGAATTATTAAGAGAATTGATCACTTAAATCTTATTTTAATTTACTAATTAAGTTTATTAACTTTTAATCACTTTAATTAACTAGTGAAAGTAAATTTCAACATTTAATTAAACTAATTTAAAACTAATTAATTTAATTAGTTAACTAAAATAAAGTATAATTAATTAATAATAACGAGGAAGAGAAAAAATAGAAATAAATAAAATAAAATAAAAGTAGACATGGGTTGCATAAAAAAAATATGGGATGTGTTGATAGAGGGCTGGTTATATGAGGGTTGGGCCTCATACCAGCCCAAACATGGATAAGTCATACAAATGAGGGTGCGGCAGGAAGTGGGTGTGTACCGAGTTAGACTTTCCATAATGGTCCAAACCTGGAATTGAAATAG